TACAGAGTGAGAGGGGATAGGAGCAGATGTGACTGTATACCATGAGAGGTCATTATGTTAGCAATCCCTTTTCTTCACATTGCACAGTTTTTCTCTTTCCCTTTTTTCATATCCTCCAGGATCTGTTCCATCACATTTACCTGCATTCCACATAGCAATTGACCCAACACAGACATCACTGTCTATCTTTCTGTGCTTTGGAGGGTCCTCCAAGCACTTCCACTTGTGCAAAAGCATGCAAGGCTCATAAGAAGATTCTGTTGAAAGAAAGTGGGGATTTGCACACAGATTGTACAATAAACCAGAGCTTATGGTGTTTGGGAACTGGCAAGCCATCCAGTGACAGCTTTCCTGGCTTTTGTCCATCTCCCAATATTTGTGAGTCTACCATGCAAACTATTGAAGGGATTTTATAATAGGATAATAGGGTTACAAGACCTAGTTCAAGAACTTTGAGTGACAATATCACGGTTTGATATGGCCAATTTTGTTCACCCAACACTACTGAATAATGAGTAGACATTGCTGTGCAGTTGATTGATGTGCTCCTGGGAGGTACCACATCACTTTGTTTGAAGCTGCCTTAGCAACTGAGTAGTTCTTATACAGATGGCTGTTTGCATAAATAATACTCAGTTGTGAGATGGGCAGCTATATAAATTGGACAAGTAAATAAATAAAAATAAATGAATACTGGAAAATAAGTTTCTCTGAGCCCTCCTGTCAGTTTTGGGGTGCCTAGTACTGTTCGGCATGGTGATTTGGGGTGAACCCTCAGGAAGTCTCCCATAAAACAAGAACACAAGACATGCCTTCATGTCACTATGCCAGCTTTCTAGTATTTCCATTATCATAGCTTGATTTACTTTTAAGCAGGCCTCCCAGCTGAATGGGATCTCAGCCCTCACCCACTCATATGAAGCATTGCAGAAAGTGAAGGGTCTCACTGATATCAATTTGTCTTGAGTCCAGCAGTCACAAAGTCCAGCAATTGCAAAGCGCCTACTCTCAAGTTTTTCTGGGTTTTATTTATTTGCTGATCTTTCACTTTTTTTTTTCCAGATCATGGATAAATTCAGGTAGATAGAATTTCCATACTGTGTTAGCATGAGAGCTGGCAGTCACATTCCCATTTATTCTCCTACCAAGGAATGGTATGAATACCTAAATCACAAGGATTTTTTTCCTCTCTTTCCTGTAACTGTGGATCATTTAGAGAGATTCAAGAAGTTTGAAGTGAGGTGAAGTGGAAAGAACCATTATGTTTTCACTTTTGGAATGTTCTTTCAATGTAAGGCTATGGATGCTGGACATATTGTGCCTCAAAATCCAACAATTACACTTGGTGGCACATGTGTCTCTCCTCCCAGTTTAGCAGATGGTACCTTAAACTTTTGGATTGCCATCTGTACCCTGTTAATAATTCTACAGAGGGAAGCCATAAAAAACTAGTGAGCTGGAACAAATAAATAGTGTGTATGCCTGGGAGCAGGGAAGGGGGGAGAGTTTGGTTCCAGAACTAATGTTACAAGCTTCCCCTATTTCAACAATGACTGTTGAGAGGGATTGTAGAAGAAAACAGTAGGCAGCCATGCCCACATTTTTTAAAACCCATAAATATGACATATGATGGGGGGGGAAGGTAGGAAAGGGTGCCTGCTCTAAACAGGTACACATCTAATGCTCCTTAGCGAGTGAGAATTTTAGAGAGTGAGAAAGAACTTCAGAGTAAAGCAGAAAGTCGCCACCGTCAGGCTTTATGGAGCAACGTCTGAAATGACAATCTTCAGTGGGTATAAACTGAAGATTTATTATGAATTATACTATTAAGCATATAGGCATACAGGTTACACCAGAACAAAGCAACAGATAGCATTTCGCATGGCTCTGCACAGCAACCACTGTAAAACAGGAGAAGTGATACAGGAGCAATGGCAGGGCACATAAACAAAACAGAATGGGGGAAAAAACCACATAATTTCTAAAAAGTTCTTTTAGGAAAAACAGTCAAAAAGAAGTTCCTGGCAGCACTGGCACCCCATTGCAGTGGCCAAATAAAAAGCAGAAAAGATTCTAGATTATGAGCTTTGTTGAAAACAATGTGAAATCAGTTGGAACTATTCCAAAAGGCATGAAAGGCAACAGTGGAGGGGGGAATGGACTTCCCCGAATATTGGCTTATATAGAACTGCCCATGATCACATGAGAGTGCCATGTCATACAGTAACTGCAGATTTCTATGGCAAAATACTACTTTGGGGAGAACAGCATGCTGCCCTAAACAGTTTAACACAGAAGACAATTCTTAATAGCCAAAGCAATATGATGGCTACATAAAAACCATACAGCTAAACTGAAGTTGTGAAGGTTGTGACACTCACAACTGTCAGAAAAGTAATCAATTAAACCAGCCATTCAGAGGTTCTCCATACTTTTCTCATTTGGAGTCTCGACCTGCATACCCATGGCACCTGAAGTTGCTGCTACCAATGCAGCATCCAATGGGCAAGAAACAGGTTGTCAGCCATCTGAGGGGAAACTTGCATTCACTCAAGATACAGTGAAGCTGCTCTCAGAACCAGCAGGTTTGCTGGGCAGTGTCAGAGCAAGAGTTACAAGAGACCATCTTTCTGAATTCCATGTGCGGTACTTGGATCTTTGCATAAGATTCTATGGCTGAGCATCTAAATTCACAGGCACGCATCTCTTTTGCACTGTTTTCTAATATACAGTATTAATATTTACATGGTTCCTCTGGTGCTGTTATTTCATCTTTTTTCTCTCTCTCCAAACATCAAGGAACTGTAGTTTCTCTTCCTTTTACCAACCTATCCAGACAGGCTTCTTTCACTAACCTCCCATATCTGCAGTGGCAGGGACTGAAGCAATATGCATTGTAGAACCTGCATGCAAACGTGCCAAGAAGAACAGGATTAACACAGACATCACAGAAATGATGGCAACCCCCCATTGTTCTGAATGCATCACTCTGAGAATGCCTTAGTTTCAAAGAGAAACTAAAATAAATGGTTGAGTCTCATTTGAACATTTATTTATTTATTTATTTATTTATTTATTTATTTATCAATTTATCAAATTTGTCACCACCCATGTCGTTGAAATGACTCACAGGCAGTTTATAAAACAGTTAAAATCAATTAAAATTACAATATACAATACTTTTAATAAATATAAAATAAATAGATCCCAGAATAGATAAATAGTGATTGGCAGTCGCTCAGGGAGTTGATTCCAAAGTGACATATTGTCGTTGTGGAGAAGCGCCGTCAGAATACTCAGCAAGCATTAAGGCTGACATTCAGTAGCACTAAGTTCAGTATGCTTTTTTTTAAACTGAATCTCTACAGGCATGATGTGAAGTTAGTCTAAGGAATTTTAAAATAAATATTGCAAATGTATTCTTCTATAACTCAATCACTTTATAGAGTTTCATGATTGGTACTATACTTACTGTAATCATGACTAAATGAAAAGCAATTTCCTGTTGAAGTCATGAAATCTGTTCATCATTCTCCACATTTCCCTCATGCATTTAGAAAAAGTGTTTTTCAAAACTCTTGATTTTTAAATGAATCACCAATCAAGATTGTCACATTTTTCTAGCTATAGTTTTTTTTTTTTTACTCAGAAGACTAGATCTATTCTAATACTTGCAACAACCATTAGTGACTAGGACTCTGCAAAACATTTGAAAGTGTGCTTTGCAAAGTGTGTGGAGCACCCTTTCTTGAAACATTTAAGTAGCCCCCTCCTTTGAAAGCTGTCCCCAGTAGTCTGCCCAGTTTTCTGCAGGAAAAGTCCCTTTGCTTTTTGTGTGGTCCCTGTGGAAGGTTGCACATGTGCAGTCAGATAATTGGGAATATTCTGCATAGCTCTAGTTACTAATGAATTGAGTCTCCCATCTTCTGTTTGAGTTTATTGGCTAAGGCTGGGTTTTGCAAACTTTGTGGGTACCTTGACCTCCAAAAGTTTCTGTCTCCCACCCAACTTCCATGAGACTTGACTATTCAAAGCCTTTCAGAACCTGTTTCAGATTTTGCTTTGAAAGCCAGCAGTCAGTTTGTTCAGGCAGAATGAAAGTTCTGACAGTGAACCAACATATACAAGCTTGTCTACCCAAAGCTGGATTTCTTTCAGAATTTGGTCCCATTCTGCCAACTGAGGTGCTGGGCTAGGACTGGGGAATGAAGGTCAATGCCACTGTCAGTTATTCTCTCTCAGCTGAACCTACCTCATAAGATGGTTGTTCTGGGGATAAAATGAAGGGAAGTTCCCATGTAAGCAACCTTGAGCTCTGAAGAAGGGTAAATCTAACAAATAATAAATAATAATGTAAAGTCATTGAAAGAGAAAGGTAGAAAGTCTTGAAAAGAAAAATAGTCCAACTTCACTTTTGCTCTCATAATTCCACCATTTCTGCTTTTAAACACAGATGCTGTAATTCAGCTCCTGCTGCCATACGTAAATGAGTATGTATGATCTCTTTCTATTACCATTTACTTTAATCAATCTGTTCCCTTAAATCGGTGTTCAGGTTTCTGCTGCGGGTGGCATCAGAAGTGTGTTAATGTTAAATTATAGAAATTACTTGCTATTGAGGGCGTGGGGACGGCTATTACTATATGCATAAGCGTAGCCCTATGTGCCATTTATTTCAGTGGCCGTATCATTTCATTCTTTTCCTAAAGGGTAATTTTGCTCACTTGCTAAATTGACCTGCTTGGGCGCTACCCGCGATTTCTACACTTTTCCAGCGGTAGGAGTCAGCGATACACAGCGATCCTATTCTATCTAGCAGGGTCTGAAGAGGTGATTTCTATATGCCTCGTAAACGCTCGCTTCTGAATTAGGAAGAGGAATTAATCCAACGTGTTACTAAGCTCGATTCAATAGGATGCAGGGTCCTGTCTGAACGGAGCGGAACTGAGCAGCTGAGCGTCGAGGGATCCAGCCGAGAGGGTTAGAGTGTGGGACTCGGTCTTCGCGCGGGGCGGGGGAAGCACATTGATACCGTTGCCTGTTAAGGAGACGCGTGTGTGTTTCGCTTCGTGAACATGGTGAGCTGTAATGTGCATCGAGGTTACTGTGAAAAAAGGACGGGAAGCGCCCTATAACTTACAACCTTACGTGTATTAGATTGCTTGATGTTAATGGGTGTCTTTTTTTCGATTTGGGGTGACAAACCAGGTTTTTCCCAATTTACCCAGGTGGACTCAGCAACAGATACCTCAAAGTTTCGATGGCCTTTTAAGTGTTAAGCAGACCACAAACTTAATGCTGAAATGTATTTGTTTAGTTTTTAACATGCTTCAAACATTGTGTGTTTGTGCATATATAGTGAACAAGATGCAATCTTACATTTGAATTAAGTTGGTCTTACTTCGGAGTAAACAGAGACTGCAATGAAAATTGTTAGTTCTATTTCCCAAGCTGAAACTTCATATAATACACTTGTATTTATTTGCCAAGTCAGTTTTATCAGTCTAATGGCAAAAGACTGCTTGCAGGATATGGAAATTTGTGCTAGGTAAATGGTTGTCTTTATTAACTCATTAGGATTATTTATTAACACTAAATTAATTGACTTTTCTGTTGAGATTATGTTTTTATATTACATTTTTATAGTGCTGCTGCAAAAAATTGAGAGTCCTATGACCTGTATAAACTAGGCAACATAAAACTTATGTTGTTATTTTTTAATGGATTGCAGCAAGCAGGGAAATCAAAGAGATGTATTGAGCACTGAAGCTTAATTTTTTGAATCTTGGAAATTCTTTTTTAGTAACAGATATTTTCCACAAACTTCCAACTATATCTTTGGATATTTTCTACAAACTTTCAGTGTTTAAAAATCTGAACAATTAAGACCTGTTATATTATGCAAACGTTTCTTTAACTTAAAAATTCTATTTGGTTTACTGAAAGATTAATGATAATTTTATTTATATAAATAGTTTTAAGCTGCCCATTAGGGCATGTACTTCATGTAACATGTACAGAATAAAGAGCCCTCCGCTGGAGCATCTGGTGATTATAGGGACATATCCATGTAATTTTCTTGTACTAAAACAGAAGTAATTTGCCATTGCTTGCTTTCAGAATTTTTTTTTTAATTAGCCCTCAAATTTCTTGGTGGCCTCCCTTCCAAGTACTAACCAGATCGGTTCCTTAGTTTTTTCTAGATCAGTCAAGGCTGGCTAGATGCTGCTATATACCTTTTGAACCTCTCAGTGGCCTTCACTACCACTGACCATGACACTCTGGACTGCCTTCAAGGGTTGACAATTAGAGGTACTATTTTATAGTGGTTCAGGTCTATCCTTTAGTGGGCAGTTCCAGGTGGGTGGACGGGTAAAAGAAAATCAGCCATGCAGTTTTTTCCTTGTTGAGTGCCATTCCTTTATCCTCTGATGTTTAATGATTACATGAAACCACTAGGCAAGATCATCATCAGTTTGGAGTATCCTTTCATTAATATGGTGGTGGCAATGTACATATGGTGACTTCATCACGTAAATCTATTTGTGTCCTGACATCTGACATAAATATATAAGTTGTAGTATTTGCAGGATGTACCCTCTGTGATGTCCGTAGCATTAGATTGCTCATCTGTATTGGAAAAGGCAGTTTTATATAAATGAGTACACCTGGTTGATCTGGGTGATTGTAATAGGGTGTGGAAAGAAAGTATGTATGATTATTTATTTATAATTTTCACCTTTAATCCAGTCTGAAAGTTCTAAATATATAGAACAACCAAGGGGACATTGCACGTTTTTTGTCTTACTTCCTGGTCTAGGATGAGCTAATCCCTAAGCATTCCAGTTATTCTCATACATGAAACATTATGTAGAGCTCATACATAAAACTTCCATCAAATAGGGCTCTTACTGAATTGAGCAGCTAGCCTTCAATCCATGTTTGTGCCTATTCAAATAATTCAAGCCTATTCCCTTAATTTTCTCTAAATAATAAATGTATGGCAATCTTTCTTTCTCACATTCATACATTTTTCAATAACCTGTTGAAGAGCAAAAATCTGATCTGCACACCCCCTGCCTGGCATAAAGCTGCACTGCACTTCTCACATTTTGTTCATTGTCAGCTCTCATACTCCTTCAATAACAATTCTGCCAAGCACCTTCCAGGCATACTTACTAAATTAATTGCCCAGTACTTCTTGTAGTACAGTACTTCTTGTTACATTTCAGTTTTTGTAAGGGAATGATAATGGCTTTCTTCCAGTCATCATGCATGAATGTTGTCTTCATATCCATTTTTAACAACTGTCCAGTGACATGATCTATATCTGCAACTTAGCATTTTTCAGTGCCAAATGAATGTTTCAAAACTGCTGATATTCTGTCCTTGCGGGAATGCTGCAAGTGAAAAAAAGCTTTGTTAACATTTGTGGTTGTTGTTTTGTTACTAAGAATTGTTGTCTGAAAGTCATAGTTGACCAAAGCCATGATGGGGAGTGAAGGTCAATATTCATGGGCCCAATTGTTGACACATGGGAGTAGGAAATTGCAATTTGGAATGTAAGAGAAATAAATTGTAATGATCATGAATTTAAAAAATGAAATTAAAAAAATAGATCTGTTGCATATTTATAAAACTAAGAAAGACTGAAGTGGTATAATAGATCTGAATGAAGGTGATCTTATTTTATACAGTTGATGAATATTTTCAGGGAAGTGAAGGTGTAGGTTTATTCATTAATGAAAGGGCTAAAATGTATGTCAGAAAATATGAATTGAGATCATTGTTGTTGTGGGTGAACATGAAACTAGGAATCCATAGTGAAATTCTAGGGAACTAGAGAACGATTAATTTGAAAAGGGTGAGATTTGCTACAATCTTTATATTTCCTAGATTACAAGACCTGGCATCTTCATTTCATTCTTTCCTGGACTTCTTGATTTGCTTACCTTCATCCAATAATTAATTGTGTTACTAATATATTGGTGAAATTGAACATCTTTCACCCTTCAGTTGTTCATTGAAAAGAAACAAGGAGAAAATGGTCCCGCCCAGGACAAGCAATTCCCTGCGTGAAACTACCTTTTGTCTGCTTGCATATGTCTGCTGCATATTTGGCTAAACAAACCCTAGTATATTACCCTAGTAATATGAAACAGAGGAAAAATATCTCTGTGATTTTTCTATATTATGTATAGTTTTATCAACCCAAGTAATATATTGAAAAAGTTCTAATTATTTGATTTTGTGTCTCCTTGTCTGCATTTTTATCACTTCTTCAATACTCTTCTTGAGTTCCATGATTAGATCTATGATTCACCTTTCATTCTTTTTGTAGTTGTTGACTAAAGCTAAAATGCATCCTATAGCCACCTCCAGGTTGCCAGTTAGACAGACTTTTCTTACCAAAACTGTAAGAAATTGATGGTAATTTTTGTGCTTGGAATGAAGGAATAACAAATCAGTTGATTGTCAATATAGAGCAGTGTTTCTCAACCTTTTGCCCCTGAAGGAATCTTTGAAATGTTTTGCAGGCCTCGGGGAACCCCTGCACATTCAGGCTCCAATATAGGCTAGAAGTTACAAATTTATTATATTTGTTTCACGTGTAGGCCTGTATATGGGCATTAACAGTGTTCTTAAACTAAAAATAAAGAATGAAACTTACCTCTTTAATGTGAAACCATTTGTTTCACGTGTAGGCCTGTATATGGGCATTAACAGTGTTCTTAAACTAAAAATAAAGAATGAAACTTACCTCTTTAATGTGAAACCTTTGCTTGTTTTTTGCTGCACAAATACTCAATTCTGGGCTAAACCTGAGATAAACACACACCGATTTCATCTTCAACTGAAATAAGATGACTTCTGTCTTTGCTTTTGATGCTTGTTAAATAAGAAACAGCTTGCTCACACATGTAACAAGTTGAAAACTGCAGCAAAATGTTCAGTGCCTTCGTATGAATGGTAGGATACGCTTCTTTCACAGAAATCCAGAACTTGTCCATGGGCAAATCAGTGGATCTCATTTTGAGTGTCTGATCAGACTGCAGCTTACAAAGTTCTTCTTCTGCCTCCAAAGTGAAGTTCTCAGGCTGAGCAGAAGATGCAGAGAAAGGATCCCTCACCTAGACATACATTTGTGTTGAAAGGGAGGGAAAGTACTGATCAATTTCATTCTGCAGTACTTCCAGATGGTCTTCAATTAGATTTGAGACTTTTTGGTACCCTTCCTCACTCTCAAGCCCAAGCAGCAGTGGAAACATTTCAGTATTTCCTTTTGCAACATGATTTTCCAAACATTGAGAGTTTTCCTTTAAATCCAAAAACCTTGTCACTTGAAGTCAAAACATTTTCTCCAATGCCTTGCAGAGACCTGTTCAGCTGGTTCATGTGATGGAAGATGTCTGCTAAATATGTAGTTTCTGCAACCATTCTCCATCTTCAAGTACCAGCAAAATGTGGAATACTATTTTCTTAAAAATACTCTTGCAATTCTGCCTTCAGCTCAAACACCCTGTTGAGAACACTTCCTCTGCTGAGCCACCGTATTTCTCTGTGTAACAGGAAACTTGTGTGTTCTTTGTCAGGTTTTCACACAGTTTTTAAAACATTTTTGAATGAACTGGTCTTTGTTTCATGAAATTAACCATTTTTCTAGCATCATCCAGAACTTTTTTCATTTCATCTCCAAGAGTTTTTGACACCAACATCTGTCTGTGAAAAAAGCAGGATTTTCTTTTCTTACAAGAGAAATGAAACCTCTCATGGACCCAACCTTTGATGGAGCACCATCAGTAAAGATGCCAACACAGTTCCTCCAAGACAGACTTTTTGTTTCCCGATATAAAGACAAGACATTAAATGCATGTTGGCCTTCACATATTTCATGTAGTTCTTTGCAGCAGAAAAGGGTGTCTTGAATTTCACCATCATTTACAAATCTTACAAATGCCATAACATGACATTTGTTGGTGAAATCTGTTGACTCATCATCTTGGATAGAAAAGCTGCTGATCTTCAGTTTATTACACAAAACCTCTTCAGCATCATGTGACATGTCATCAATATGCTAACTTATTGTACTGTTTGACTGTGGAACCTTTTCAATTTCTTGTACTGCATCTGATCCTAGAATTTTTCCTACTATTATTTTACATGCTGGCATGATTACTTCTCACCAAAGTGAGACTTTTCCTTTGCTGTGTGATAAGTTCTGCTACTAAATAACTTGCTTCTTGGGCTTTTTTACTGACTCTCATTTTATTAACAAAAGCTTTAGTCTGTTCTGTAATTCCAATAGCTATTTAAAATAATCAGAATTTTACTTATATGGCTATAATTTGTAGTTAAGTGTCTTTTAAATTTTGCTGGAGCCATTGTTTGCCACAGATGCACAATGAAGTAGGACAACTTGGATCACCAATTCATGTAAAATTCATTGATAAAGAAGCTCTCATTGTAAAGATGGACTTTTTTTTTTTTTTTGAGTCCATTAGTATACCAGTGCAGGGAAATACCTGAGAAGATTTAAACTGTTCATTATCATTATCATCATTAAATTTATCAGTACTGTCCATTCTAGAATCCTTCTCTTCCCTCTCACACCTCCTCTTCAAAAATTGCCACATTGGTCCTTCAGACATGACTGAATAAACATGTACAAAATTTATTTAAAATAATGGGAGTAAGATAACTACAGGAAAACTGCAAAGAAAAGATGCAGGAAGGAGAGACTGACATCACAGATTAAGTTGGATGAGTGCATTAATTTCTTCAAAAATGCACTTCCCCTCTCCTTCCTTCAATATATTCCTACCTTCTTGCAATATAGCATTCTCCTGTTATCAACGGTCTTCCCTAACTCACATCAAAAATTAAGAATGGATTCAACCAAATAAACACAGTCCTATAGCACACTACCAGAAAGCTCAGAAAGAGTTGTAACTAGATTTTGTTTGGTCTCTGCTCATCACTGCGAGAGTGCATTGCCTGAATTTGAAATAATTTTTTTAAAATGAAATTTAACCCCTAGTGACCTCTCAGGGAACCCTAGGGTTCCACAGAACCATGATTGGGAAACCCTGGTATAGAGTCTGAGAATAGTTTAGGAACAGTACTGATTGCTATAATTGTTTTAAGCAGGCTTCTTTTATTGTGAAGAGCAGTAAGTGTACGTGTGTGCATGTATGTATACACACACATAAACACACACACATATATATGCACACACATACACAGTACTGTGCAAAAGTTTTAGGCAGGTGTGAAAAAATGCTGTAAAGTAAGAATGCTTTCAAAAAGATATATTGTAATTGTTTATGTTTATCAATTTACAAAATGCAAAGTGAGCAAACAGAAGAAAAATCTAAATCAAATCAATATTTGGTGTGACTACCCTTTAGCTTCAAAGCAACTTTTGCACAGTACTGTGTATGTGTGTGCATATAATGCTTTCAAAAAGATATATTGTAATTGTTTATGTTTATCAATTTACAAAATGCAAAGTGAGCAAACAGAAGAAAAATCTAAATCAAATCAATATTTGGTGTGACTACCCTTTAGCTTCAAAGCAACTTTTGCACAGTACTCTGTGTGTGTGTGTGTGTGTATAAATAAGATCCTTATAACAATCGTCTGTAGTTAGGCTAGTGTTATGAATATATGGTAGATGTTAACTGCTGCTTGAAACTTAAATAACTGATCCTTTTTGTTATTATGTTTCAGCTGAAGGTAGTTGAAATAGTTCTGTTAAATGCTTCTTAATAAAAATAGTTGTAGAATTTCAGATGAAAGATATCAATTGTGTTTACACAACAATAATGATTATGAAATATTTGATAAAAGTTCTATGCCAATACGTATATATATGTGGGATATATGTAATAACATTTACCATTTAAAGGTGTTTTTTTTTTAATAATCGCAGTTGCATATTGTAAGTGTAGCAGAACTGATAAGTTTTCCACTTTGCATATTTCATCCAGTCTTCTTGCTTGCTTCTTCTTATTGACTGAATATTTCACCTTGGCTATAATAACAATCAAAGTATTTTTAAAACGTCTTTCTGTTTCATTCTTTTGACTCATTGTTTCAGCCAAAAACTGCCAAGGCAAAAGGAGGAGGGCAGGAGAAGAAAGTCATCCACCCTTACAGCAGAAAAGCTGCTCAGCTTACGAAACAAGCACACAAACAGGTTAAAAAGGAGAAGTAAGTCCTTACCTACTTCTGATATTGAGTGGTATCTGGAAATAATATTCTTGCCTTAGAAATATCAGGGAATACTAATCTTGCAACTTCTTTCAGTGTGCATCAAAAATGAGATAAATGTATGATGGCAATCAATTACTCTCCAGTTCCTAAGATCTTTATCTATAGCTTTGCAGTGATATTGACACATGATTGCACTTACTAAAGTTATGATATGTTCCTAAAATTCTTTCATTTTGATCATGTAACAACCCATGGACAAAACATGCCGCATGTGTGACCCTGAGTTCTGATCCTGATGATCCTGCTCTGATCAGTTAGCTGGTGGAAACTAGATCATTGATTTTCCACTGCCATTAAAATTTTAAAAGAGGGGTCTGTAGCAAGATCACTGGCAGAAATGCCTTTCTCCACCATCCCTGCTCAAGATCAGTGAAAAGGAGAAACTACTGTACTTTGTGTGTGTAACCTCCAGCCCCAGATTTTACAACTGAAATAGAATTATTTATAATCTGGATGTAATTTCTGTGCAAACAATCTTCAGTATTAACAATACAATATGGAATTGCCATGCTTTCACTTTGAAAGCTATTTTTAGGTGATCTTTTACCAGTGACTATTTGGTTTTAAACAATTTGGGTGTGGTGTTTTGGAGATAAAAGGGTTAGCACTATTGCCACTATTATCTATTAAAATACTATTAAAGATCATATTTGAATTTTTTTTATGCTTCCTAGTTTATGATAACATGACAGGTTAGTATCCTTTAGGTTATATTTCTCTTAGAGACTTTGATGCAATATATTTAGAGGCAGAAATGCAACAAACTGAATCTAAGTGGACTCCAGATTGGCTCCCTTTTCTTCCAAAGCATCAGCTATATCACCTGGCACCAGGTGCTTTCTTTTCATTTATTATAAAGAAGCTGAATGGTGTAATGATGACAGACTTTGTTCCTGTTGCTGTTTTATCTCAGCAAGAGATCTTGTAGGAAGATGTGCAGGAATTTTTTTTTTCTTTCTCACCTGAGAATTCCTAATGAAAACAGGGTACTAGCTGTCACTTCACACAGCAGATTCAAATGGATTTTATTTTCCTAATTAAAATAGTCTGTTCAATATTTCTAAAAAGTTTCTTTCTGTTTATTCATTCACTAGCACCTGATCTTGCCAGTTGTCTAATATTCTGCATAACTCTTACATTTTGTGGCACAATTAATACAGGCATTTGTTTATCAGATTTTCTTGGGAGCTGTTTCACACAAATATGCCACTGTAATATAGTTAAAGTTATGCACGACATTTTCCTCAATAAATAAATGAACAATGTTTTCTTATTTGTTTAACTGGATTCTCTTTATCTAGTTTTAGGAATTGTGTGGAAAACAGATCATGTTTTAGGTATATTTATGCAGGAATTTTGAACATTTAAAAGGCTTCACAAACTTGTAAGTGCCAGTGTACCTGGAATTTAACAATGACATCAACAAATCTCCCATGTTAGTCACTTAGTAACATGATAAAAGATGGTCTAGATGATAAAACAATAATAACGTGACTGCACCCAAAGAGTTCTCATTAATCACTCCAACTTGGAGAGACGTATTGATTGGGGTGCTTTTCAGATATGTTAACATCAGTTTCCATAGCCTCAGATCTTCTTCATGGCATTGGGAAAAGCTGATGTTAAAGCAATTAAAATATATATTGTAAACTTCTTTATGTATTATAGCTTGGTTACAGTTTAGGGATAAGAATGCACTTGAGAAATAGGAGAGGTAGGTAGACCATTTTCCTTGCTGTGCAGATTCCTTCTCTTTCAGTGGCTTGAAAGAGCAAAACAGTTGACTTCCTTCTGTGCTTACATATAAATGAAAGATACCTTTTTATTTTACTTAACTCTCATATAGTTTCTTCAATTGCAGATTCTGATTGATTGGCTATACATATTTTAGAAATTAGATTGTGACATCGTAATCATGGAATGTGTCATGAGATTGCAATAGGATAAAAAGTGATTAAATAAATAAATTGTAGGCATTTTTTTCTTTTTGCAGATTGAAAAATGAAAAGGCCTTTCGTCTCAGCATTGTGGGTAAGTGTAATTTATACTTTCATATTCTGTAAAGTTAATCTCTGTAGCTTATCTTCAAGTATTTTCTTGGAAGAAGTTCTATTCAGTGCAAATATTATTTTTTTTTTGCTTTATAGCAACTGTGTACAGAGTTTAACATTAGAAATTCTATGCTATTATTACTTGGAATTTTTGGATATTGTTTCTTTTATGCACTCCTGATTTTTTATTAGTGCTTTCTATAACAATGGGAATTTTTGCATCATTCATAAGACTTTCTTTAAAAGAGAATTTAATCACATTTCAATTGTTAAATATATTAGCTTTTCATCTTCAGATATAAAGCAAATATCTTTGAAATGGTATATGTGAGAAACTAAAGAAGTTTGAACAAACATCAATATTTTACATTAATAAATAAAATCATCCAATAATATTTTCACCACATATATTTACATCTTTGCTTCTTTTTATAAAGAACCAGATAAATTAATACTTCACTTCATTGCCAGGTTACTTAACTAGCAAGTTACATTAGCTGGCTTTTAAAAAATTATTTCAATTAGGGAAATAGCAAAAAGGCCATAACATAGTAAATAGAGATATGCTTTGCACATTCAAAACAGTCCAATTTCTATTGTTGCTAATATGCTACTGTCCTCTCAAAGGGAGGCCAGAGCAATGCACAGAAAGAGCAATGCCTTCATATATCCATATGCCATAAAAGGCAATAAAAACCCTGAATAAAACAATATAGCATATTTATTTTAAAAAATCATTTAAAAAGCACAGTTTCTTTGGTGACAGTCTGATCCAGGCATTACTTTACCCACCAAATGCCTGGGTAAACAACCATTTCCTAAGCTGTGCCTGAAACTAATTAATGTAAGGCAAGTATATTTCTCCTGTTCCAGAATTGGGGAGCTATAATTTAAAAAGCCCTGCTTTTTGTAACCACACTAAAGAGTGAACTCACACAAGAAGTAAGAGGAGGGTCTGCATAGATAGATAGTACTGGGGAGATGACAATTTAAATATTTGGATATTAAGCCATTTAGATCATTATAGACCAGTGTTTCTTAAAGTGTGGGCCAAGGATCCCTGGGGATCCCCCAAGACCCTCTCAGAGGTTTGCAAAATCAAAATGGTCAGATATCGAAGACATTTGCAAAAATTAAAACAATGTCAGTCTTCTCATTATTTTTTATTTGTCAAAAAAATATAGGTATTTTTCATGAAAAATATTTATGTTAATATTTAATGGGTTTAATGTTATTTTTACATGATTCAATAAATAAATATTCTATAAATGCATTGATTTTAATACAATTTTAATACAAATGTTTAATACAGTAAATATTGATAAATATAACCCATACAAACAAAAGCTCTTTTGGGATCCTCCATAATTTTTAAATTGGAAAGGGATCCTGAGAGAAAAAAGGTTTAAGACTTTTTTAGTTATAGACTAATGTCAGGCCCTTGAATTGGGCCTGATAGCTCACAGACAGCAATTCTAGTGCTTTAATGGCTAGTGTAATGTGGTCCAACTGAACATGCCCGTATGAACTGTAGCTTCTGGTCTGTCTTGAAAGGTAGACCCGTAAACAGCATATTACACTAATCAAATCACTGAGGCCGTGCTGACCCAGTCCTGGTGTGGTTCTAGTTGGGCATAGATTCTCCTTGCTGATGAAAGCACTAGTACATCCTGTGACAGCTTGAGTCTAGGAGGCCTTCCAAGCTACATACAGGCAGTCCCCGGGTTAAGAATGTCCAACTTATGGACAACTCATACTTATGAATGGGCTACCTATTACTATAAATGGTAGACGGTTTCTCTTTCCTCAAGCTGAAGAACTGCTGAAGCCGCACATTGTTTTCATGAACTGCTGAAAACTGCTGAAGACAGGCTGTATGTTAAAAATGTGTGGCTTCAGCAGTTCTTGAAAACATTGTGCAGCTTCAGCAGTTCATAGGCTTGAGGAAGAAAAACGCTGTCTGCCATTTTTAGTAATGGGCAGCCTGTTCATAAGTACGAGTTCCAACTCACATATTCGAGTTAAAGATAGACTTAGGTACGGAAGTCGTTTTTAATGCAGGGACTGCCTGTACTTGTTTTTTTGGAAAGAATGCTACTTTATCCAGAATAGACCAGCTTGCCAAATCCTAGGCTTTAGAACCACCTATCCAGAGCACCTATTTTTAACTTCTTCCTTCTATCTGCAGAATATTTTCTTTGCCAGTGATATCACACAATCCCAAAGCATAACAGGGCCACCCCTCTTTGTATTCCTTTCCTCAAATGCTCATCCATGTTTTTTTTCCAAATATGTGGTTGTGGCAGAATAGTCTAATTTTTGTTTCATTAGTCCAAATTGTTCCAAAATGTTTCAGGCTTTTCAAGGATTTCTTTTGCATACTTTAGACAATGATTTTTGTGATCAAGGTGATGAAAATATTTCCTTGTGACAATACTCCTATGGAGTCCATTATTGTATAACCAGCGCTGTACTGTGGACCTGTGGACAACCACTCTAGTATCAGCTAAACTTTTCAGTAGGATTCTGTTTTACAGGTCTGCCCAGTGTTTGGCAGTTCCAGCAACATTTTTTGTGGTTTTTAAGTTAATGTTCCACAGTCAGTGAAGAAATTGAAGCTGAGACACTGAAATAAAACATACCTCCAAATCAACCATAAAGTGCTTACAGAAAAAAAAGGTGCGGGTTTTGTAATGGCCTTCACAGTCCCAGGCCTTTGTGAGGAGATCTTAATGCATTCAAGGAGTCCCCAAAAATATTTCTGAACTAGAAGAGTCCTTCAAGGAAGAATGAGGAAAAAATCCTTCAAAAGCAAGAACAGAAATATTCTTCGCTGGCTCTGGTAAATGCTTTGAAGCTGTTATTTGGGCAAAATCCTGACTGAAAGGTTGTCCAAACTTTTGTACTTGCTGTGTTTACTCTTTTTTTAAAATCCGTAAACAAATCCACCTAAATTTTAAGTATATATACAGATTTGCAGAAAAATGGTGTTAATTTTGTTCCATGTAGAAGTTGTGTCAGCTTTGACTTACTTAGAGATTCATTGGAAAACGTCATTGGACTAGGGTGTGCCAAAACTTTTACCTATAACTGTACTATGCTATTTACGTACATTGCTTGTTGTTTCATTTCTCTTGGGTTGTCTATTACTCCTAAAAAAGTATATGCCAAGTATTTGAATTACCTGACTATTCCTGAATACTATTGTGTTTTTTCTAGAATGAAATTCAATTCCTTTCTGTCAGCCCATTTTATAAAATGATGTCTTAATTGCATAAAAACTATGATTCATGTGCTCTTTCCTTTTAACTGCTGTAGGGATGTGTTAGTGAAGTATCCTGGAAATATGAATGAATATTTCCTTTTATTTGGCAGTAATAGCAAAGGCCTAACTGAATCTGTTGGTAACTTGTAGACAGTAACCATGAGCATATGAAAAAGGAAATTTCCAATGGGATTAGGCTTTACAGTTGTCTTATGGGATTAATAATTTAATATTTTATATTATTATTACATTTGTAGTAGAAGCATGCAAACATGAGAATAATAACTTTGAAGATGGGGGAGGAAATTATTAAACTGAATAATGTATTTTTGGTTTTGTTTATATTTTTATATTTATTTATTTATCAAATTTATATAGCCACCCACCTCATGAGAGGTAACTCTGAATGGCGCACAATAACCAAGTAAAAAACAATGCATATATAAAACAAACATTTAAAAATATAAAAAGCCAACATTAAAAATTAAAAGTTATTAAAATTAAAATGCAAACCCCAGGCAGAGAGAGAGCAAGTATATATCCACCTCAGTAGTGGAGCCATTTAAACATACCTCTGGTTCCCTGGGACCCCCAGGCCTGGTGACATAACTAGGTTTTGAGGGACTTCTGGAACATCCAGAGGGATGGAGCTAACCTAACTTTTTCTGGGGTGGGGGGAGAATGTTCCATAAGGCGGGCACCACGGAACATTACAAATATCTTACTGTTCTGATATGTTCATTGCATGTGTAGATATGAATACCTGTTTGTATACTCTTTCATATGGGTTTGTGACTACAGTAAACATATACTTATTTAAGATTGTTTTATATTGATTTTACCTCTTCTGCCCAGAGTCTTTTTTTAACGAGATGGGGGGTGACAAATTTGATATATAAATAAACAAACAAACTCACTCATACATCTGTGGTATGAGTTTTTCATGGTTTAAGTGGTTTCTCCTTTTTAAAAAATGTATTTGTGATTTGTGGTTAAAAAAATAGATGGACTTTTAATGTATTGGGCTCATTAATGAACTGGGATTGTTAATATTCCTGTTATATTCCTTTAAATATTGAATACCAGAATGAACTGTGAACTTTTATTTTTGTTTTTTCTTTTGTAGGTGAAAAATTGCTTTGGTTTCAAAGTCACCTTGATCCTGACAAAATGGAATATACAAAAAAAGAAGCTTCTGAACTAGTAGAAAAGTAAGTTTACAGCAAGTGAGCAAAGTCTGTTGTGTTTGGAGCAAGAATGTTGAGCTGATGTTATAATTTTACCTGCTTGGGATGTCTTCACAAAATAAAAATAATGCCCTGTTCCGTGGTGATGCATTAGAGCAGCTGTTGGTATATGCCATCCTTAGTATTTATTCTTGCAGTGTAATTTTAACATTAAATATGTATTAATTGTCATAAATAATTAGAAACAGTTAAATTATAATTCTATTCTAATTGTTTTTCTGGAATAATACATAATACATACCTATTGTGTACTGTTTATAGGCAACAACTGCCTAGAGTCACTTGTATGATGAGATGGGCAGCATATATAAATTTGAAAAATAAATAAATAAACTGTTGAAAACAGCTTTACTCTCAAATATCCTGTTTCTGGATTTTGTAAATAAATGAACTGTTATTTTAAATATGAGCTGCAATTAAAAAGTAACATTAGTTTGCAACACACAGAAACTAATTTGTGTGAATATATATTTTCTGCTGCTAGTCTTTTTAAAAAATCTTTTCCAGGCTAAAGAAAGCTTTGCTATTAATAGTTTTGCTGTCAGATTGCTGTTAAAGATCTGGATGGTTGATGACATTAAGACAGAGAAGTGCCTTGCCTCTTTGTTCCCTTCATAATATTTTTTCATATTTTTAGGGGCAGTTAGTTTAAATATGAGGATTTTTGTATGTGTTCTTAATTATTAATATTAATATTCAAGAGGATTTACTGTTTCTAAATAATTGGGAAGTATTACTTTTGAAAAAATGTTTCTAAAATTACTGTTTCCTGTGTTTTAGTTATTTGCAGCGATTTCGTGATGAGTTGGAGCAGATCGAACTGCACAACAGCATTAAAGGAAGACAGTCCAGACAGCACAGTTCCAGGGAAACAGTAATCAAGCAGACTATGGAACGTGAAAGACAGCAATATGAAGGCTATGGCATAGGTATGTTGGTTACTATTGTGCTGTGCTAAAAAGTAACCTGTTATTAATATGTGGCCAAAAAATAAGAACTCTGCATAAAAGAACAGTCACACATGCTCTCTACTTCTGAAGTAAAAAAACGTTAATTGACTTTTCATATGTTACTCATACTTTATTCCTATACTTTTCTCCAACAACTCTGTATGCTATTGGGCTTTAGTTGAGCTTGACATTCAGATACCAGCTGTGGGCTGGGTAATCTCTTCTGTGTAAATCCTTCCAAATTGTAGTTAATTTGATGCATGCAGAAGATTCTTTGATAAAAACAGAGGGTCAATGTGCCGTTGTTCTGATAAGCTGATTGATAGCTTGTACAGCTACAAGCTTGTACAACTTCGTTGTCATCAACTTAACCATTCGTTCAGCGACCATTTGAAGTTACTGCAGCGCTGAATGAAGGGACTTATGTCCAGTCACTCAGGTTACGGCCATTGCAGCACCCCCAATCTTGTGATCAAAATTCGGGCGCTTGGCAGCCTTCCCACACTTAAAACCACAGGGTCACTTCAACTTCCCTACCTGCCTATCTTCCCCACATCTATGCCCTTTTGGCCCCCTGCTACCCTGTGGTCCGCTGTCCAGCTGACCTTTGCTGTCTTTTTGCTTCCGCTGCTGACCAAGCATGCCCAGCCTGGCCCTTCATGAGGCAGCTGCTGGCTGCACAAGGCTTTCTTCCCAAGGTTGTGCACAGCAGTTTCCTCGCGAGACCTGGGGAAGATGGCCCCACATGGCCAGCAGCTGCCTCAGGAAGAGCCAGGGCAGGTATGCCTCAGCAGCAGCGGGAACAAGAAGACAGTGAAGGTAAGCTGGGGTGGCAGAGCTCAGGGGTCTCGGAGTGCAGGGTGGTAAGGGTGATTGCAGCTGGGGCTGGGACTGGGCTGGGATGGCTGAGGCTTCCTAGGGCATGGCAAGCAGCCCCAAAGCTGCACGGTTCTGGGGCTGCTTGCCGCCCTGCAAGGCAGGATGCAGAACAGCCAAAAGGGCAGAGATGGTGGGAGATAGTCGGGGGGGGGAGGCAGTCCCTTACTTCATTGAGGCTCGGGGCTTGGAGGGACCAAGCCTGAAATGGCTTGGATTGGGTGGGTCCTTGGCTAACGACTGGCAGAATTTGCTTAACAACTGCAACAGAGAGTGCCAGGATTGCCATTATTAAGCAATATGGTTACATGACATCTCATTTTACAGCCGCATTGCTTACCAATGGAAATTCCGGTCCCAATTGTGGTTGTAAGTCAAGGACTACCTATAAGTTTGAAAAATTCACACCTACAAAAATCACTTGAAATGTTCTTCAATATTGAAATGGCAAAAACTTGAAATTAGCAGTGTATATACGTACTGCATGTATAGACTACTCATTTATCTTTTATGTATCTATAATTTAACAAACTTTGTATTCAAATTACCCCGGTCCATTTCAGTTGTTTTTTTTTTTACTGTGAAAGACTTAAAGAAAAATAATCATATTCAAAAAATTCAGCAAAATTAAATTTTTAATGTTCAGAAGGATGCAATATATAATTCAGCAACAACTTTCAAAATGATTCAAGAAATATTGTTTGTTTGGGCACCTCTGTCCTTATTAAACGTTACCTCCAATCATTCAATCCTTGTTATTATTGCTGCATCTGTTTGCATATCTCTAAACTTGATTCCAATTTGAGGAAAATGGTTTGCTGCTGCTGGGCAATGTTATTAAAGATGGCAATTTAGGATGAAAAGTGAGATTGGCTAATTAATAATCTTTAAAACTTGTAGTATTTCTGTTTTCTTTTAATGAGAAGAAATGCCCATTCAATGGTATGACCTTCCATTTCCTTCCCAATATTCACCATTCATTAGTTTCTCTTACCAGTTAATTATAGTTTATCTGGCAAAATTATGTGCTTTTCAAAATTTGAGGTGAAACATTTAAGCGGTATATTAGACTAATTGATTAAAGCTGTTTTAATTGATTAAAATATCTCTGATAGGGCAGCATATAAAAAAATGTCAAGAAACATTTTTTTCTTTGTTGCAAATAGGAGAATTGTTTTCTCTTGAGAACATACTTCATATAATACATGTGCATAGACTAATACACATACACACACACACTTACGCACAGAGAGAGCGAGAAGGAGAGAGCAAGAGGTGCATAATCACTTGGCATAACATTTCTTTCTGTGAAGTTAAATTTGTCTTATGACTGAAGCCAATCTGTTTTAGATGCAAATTCTCAGTGCTTCTAAGTCTTCTAATTCTCTGTCTGTGTGCCAGTGTCCCTTCACATTTTTTTTAAAATGGAGACAATAACTGTGTTGTTTAAAATTTCAGTCATGGCTTATCTTTTTTTTATCCTTGATTTCTTTCATCTCAGAGTTCAAAAACTCTGATTTATGGAGCCATGGAAAATTTCTGAATGCAACCAAATTACCCTGCTTTGCCAGGAATAAATGTTTAGCCCAAACCCATGTCTTTTAATTGCAGGTTGAAGCTTGATAAGGCAGATATGGGCAAACTTAGATTTATGGGATGTAATTTAGTTTTGTAATCCAACCACAGCATCCATCAACTGGAGTACGGTGTAATGCCTGGAATTAAACAGTTCTGAAACAGAAATTTGTTCTAAATACTGGAAGAGAACAAATATTAGCCTTTCTGCATAATAACCTGTTCCTTTTTAGCTTAAGCTTTCTTCATTTGAACAACTTAGGGCAGCAAAATGTTGTTACTACCATTATTAAAATTAGGAGTGATCTTTTCTTGTTAATTGTTGACTGTTACCAGGTTATCTACCAGTATATCCAGATCTGCCTCTTGCACTTTTTAAAATTTAAATATTTTATTTTAACAAGTTTTACAGAAAACAATAGAAAAAATACAAACAGGAAAGAAATATATGAAAAAACTACAAAAACCAAACCAAACAAGCAAACAGAAAAGGAGAAACTGTCTATATACTGTATGTCACATGTTAATCAAATCTCAAATAGATTTCTAAATCTACATTAGGGTGGAAAAATAAAAAACAATGATTCTCTAACATTACAAAATATTGTAAGATTTGTGCCACAGAAAAATATACTGAGTTGTTTTTTGATTAATAAATAAAATTGCTTTTTCTAAAACAGATGTCATACTTCTCTTGAATCCAATTCAATATCAAGAATATTACTACTTTTCTAAATCCTCAAAATAATTAGCATCCTAGACCTGATATGACCATAAGTCATCAAAAATAGTCAAATTCCAAAGTTTTGGAACATAATTTAACATAATATTAACATATTTAATCCCAAAAACATTCCCCATGAATATATTTACATATATTAAAATATTATCCCCCCCAAATGTCAGTGATTCAGAGGCCCAAATCATATGAATCAATGATTCCTCAGATTTTTTTTTACATTGCCAGCAGAGAAAATCTAATGTCCATCCTTTTGAATGTATTCTTTGAGGTATCCAGTAAACTTGAAATAAGATATTTTGATGAATCAGTTTTAATTGTTAAATTAAACAGTTTAAACAAACTGGGTCAGAATCAGACAGTTAGGAGTCACTGATCTTTTAAAATGCCTTAAATTGGTTGATCTAAATTCAATTTCTTCCCACAGAAATCCCTGACATTGTAAACTGCAATCATCTTCAATATTTCAGGTGAGTTATTTTCTAAACATCCCCAAAATGGGTTGGGGCAGGGGGAAATCCTGCATTACTCTGGCACAATTTTTAAAAGAGGACACAGTCCTTTAGTCCAAAGTAATCCAGTATGAACAATCTGTTTATTTTCAATGGCATGCATCATATCAGTTTCACATAATCATTATCAAGAAATTTTGAACATCATACTTCCTTGTATTATAATTCCTTGTGTTATAAAGAATATTATTTTATAAATATGTGAATTTATAATTTGAATGTGAAAATTAACATGTTCAACTGATGTACCATAATTCAGAAGTTACAGTGACAGAAAAACATGCTAAGTGCAAATTGGGGGATTTATATCTTCATAGCTCTTTGCCTTTTTTCCTATTTTTAATTATTAGTGTTAGATTTTTATAAAAATTAAAATTATATTGTTGTTATTTTAATTGCTTGGCAAAATGCATGGAGAAATCCTATTTGGATGGAAATCCACCTAGGGTGGGGGTTAGGCTTCCTTGAAATCAGTGAAAAAACCAACATCACAATTAGATTCAGAGAGGCTGTTAATGGATAGTGGGCTTCTTACATTCCTGTTCTTCCTCATTTCAGTTCCTAGGCAAAATACATCAGACATTCTATTGAGATGAAAATCCACCTAAGGTTAGAGTTAGGCTTCCTTGAAATCAGTGTGAAAAATAGAGGGCTTCTTACATTTCCGTTCTGCATCTCATTACATGCAGTGGGAAGAATTAAGTTATATCAGTGGTTCTTGCCTAGCATAATGTCATAGAGTTTTCTAGGGTTGGGACATCCCAGTATCAGAAGGTGTCAGCTGCAGAAGCTGATGAACTTCGAGAAAGCAATGCACATTAGATTCTCCCTCTCTCAAAAGACAAAACCTGACAATCCAGGAAGAAATTTATTAATTGCAAAACAGGGATGGAAGGTTGTTATTAGCAAAATTGCTTCTGATGGTGCAGTCAAATTTTCCTTTGAGATACTTTCCTCAAGCTACAATAAGTAGGGTGAGTTTATAAAGTATGTGGGACCATTTTACATACAAGGTGGAACCAGAATATTCTGATTTTTTTTTTAATTTGGTGTGGGAACATCTTTATTTTTTAAGTATTTTAAGCCTATTTTAGAGTATACATAGTAATTTTCCTGTATTTCCTGCATCATGGGAATGACTTTTGAAAGCATGTCTTCTATTTAGTTGGGTTTATTCTGGAGTAGTTTCACAAAAGAACTTCCTAATCAAGGTTTTTGTTTTGTTTTGTTTTAAATAGGAGAAATCTTTGATTACTAACATAAAAATTATACTTTCCATCACCTAATGTTTGTCATTTTTCTCCCATTTCTGTCAGAGACTGGGATGGTGACCTGAAGAAGCTACCAAATATTAAAATGAGAAAGTTATCCAATAAAGATGTCTTTAGTAGTAGAATGGAGAAGGCAAGTGTTGAAGCTGGAAATGAATTGTCTGCAGCACAGGATGGAGACTAAGGAGAAATTGCCAGGGTATTTGAAACAAATTGGCAAGCCAGTGTTTTAACTGTCTGTGGCAGCAAGAAGCAAGAAACCTTCCTTTCAGTCAAACATGCTATTCTGACTGCTGTGTCTTTCAGTTTGTACTGGAGTTTATGACATAGCAATGTCTTTTGAAAAAACAGTGCAATGTATGTAAAGTTCATAAAAATGCTTGATATTATATTGATTGAGCCAAATTCTGATTAGTCTAAATTCATATAATGTAGCAAAGCAACAAACAGATTTACAATGCAGGAAGAAAAAGTCAAATACCTTCCACCTTACCTACTATCTTTCCCCAGTTGTTGTTCTTCAAGAGGAAGTACTGGTCTGATTGTCGTTAAAATTGCTGGAGCAAAGTATTTTTAAGAGTAAACATAAATGCACCTTTTCATACCGCAAGGGTGACAACATCTTTAACAGTGCATTTTGGCATCATTCCTTCCTGAAGGTGCAGGTTGAGAGTATAGCTCATAACATCACTTGAGTGGTTTGGGTTCATAAATGTGGTCTAATTTTGGGGCAGATACTATTAAGGGGCAAAATAAAGCTTGAGGTACCTTTTTCCCCCTTGAACTCCTTCAAACAGTAAAAAAGCATGATGGGTGGGAACCTTTTGTCACATTCTCTCAACACACCGAATTTAGTTCTGTCCTTTTTACAAAAAGCTATCCTGCTAACAATACATAGATACACAGAGTTGTGAGCCCCAGTATCTAATTTATTTCCAACATTCTGTTGGATTGGAAAGAATAAAATATGGGCTGTAAAACAATACTGAACAAAGTGTACTAACCAGTATATTTAAGCTTACTTCTGTCTTGGCTTTGGCCTTTGTGTTCTTTAGTTGTAGAATATTCTGTGTAATAATTTGTAATATCTTGATAACTGAAACTATTACTCATTTTTAGACAAGCAAACACAGCTTGACTTCAAAAGTTTGGCTTCAGTGAACTTACTAATGGGCTTTCATGCTTGTATATTGATCTTTTTTTAAAACAAAGTTCCTTGTTAAGTCCAAAATGGGTCATCATTAATATTGATTTATAAATCAGATCTTGAAGCACAAATTCTGGTTAGTAAACTAACATTAAACTATATTCCTGAAGAATGGAGGAAAGAGAGTGAAAACTTGATTTTGTTTTTTTCTTCTTCTTCTAGTCTCTTGAGTTAAACTGTTGCTCAGGAAAAGGACTGAGGTTACATTTGGTTTTAACCAGGCTTTTTCTCCACTAATCAAATGTCATCTGCGGCATTGAGGCTGAGCTTTCATTTCAAATACACCATAAAATTCAGTGCAAAACCTCAGTGCACAGGATAAGGCAATGATATCCTCCTCAAGTTTGTAACTTCACACTGGAAATATAAATACATTATTAGTTTCTATTTATTTAAAAAAGAAATAATTTATAGCTATTTCAGAGTCATCTGTTTATTACAAATACAAATTTGTTCCACAACAATTAGTTTTTTTCTCAACCAAGAACCTTTTTAATACACAAATCACCCACAAAAGCTCTTGCCAAAGAGAACCGGGTAAAACAAGTAACAAACTTGCAGGTCCAGTGATTATACATAATAAAATATTTGCATCATAGACTGCAGTGCAGTTTTCAGAAATTGACATAATTTTCAGATGAATAGGGATCTATGCAACAATGCAATATTGACCTGTGCTATTGTTTGGTTTCTAACCTGTAGCAATTACACCAATAGGTTATTTAGATATGCTTATATGGCCAGCAGGATAATCTGGAGTGGAATATCCCTAACAGCCACTTAGAGAGCTGTTGAAAAAAAATGTTGGCATTTAAAAATTTGCTTTTTTTCTTGTGGACAATATGTTCCACATTTTCGTCTGGTATCTTTCACGTAGTTTTTCTTTACTGGTACTCAAAAAAGACAGATGGCATATTGCAATCTATGTGGGACAAATAGCATTTTTTAAAATATATATATACAACTGATAGTTGTTCCTTCATACCTGTTTCTATAAGCATCAAGTTTTAGAAACAGCATGAATAATTCCCTTTTCAGTTCTATGGAATGAAGCCAAAATCAGTCTTGGTTTTGAAACTGTGGCCGGCACAGTTATTTTGTAAGTTTTTTCTAAATCTTGGGATGGGAATGATGTAGAACTTTTCTCCCCAGTGCATCATGCTATATAATCATGCCAAACATTTCTATGAATCCAGTATTTTACTGGCGCTGAGATATATGAATAACCAGTCATTTACCTTTTGCCACTTGCATGATAATCCTGTATGTGGTCTCTGTAAAACGTACAGTTGGGCAACTAACTGCCTGAATTGACAGAAACATTAGTGGAATGATAAGAAATTAACGTTGCAGTGCTATTCCGAAAGTGCCTTTTGTTGCATATAAATTCAGTTTGCAGCTCTTAATGCCCTAGTGATCATCTATGCAAAGCATAGTAATATCATAAATATTTATAGTTGGAGAAGGAACACAACTTACCACTCCAAACTATAACTAAACTATATCCTGGTCTATGTCACTTAGAAAAAAAATGCAGACCACTCAGTTTGAATTTGATTTCAGATTGTGACCTAACTTCTTTTGCATCTGTCCTGTTCTCTGTATTAAATTATGTGATGGTCATATAATGGCATACCCCCCCCCCCACTGAAAGACTTAGTTTACAGGTTAGTTACCCAATTTTCATTTCAGAAAGCTTCCCGGCCTTAAAATTCTTGTCGTATATATCATAATGTATAATATTAACCTGATGGTTAATATGTTTTCAGCCAAGCTAGAATTCTGGTATTATAACTGAAGTTCCTATTTACTGACATCAGTGAGAAAATGCCCTTTTACATTAATGAAGTTAACTGCTGTTGCAGTTTCTCAGAGGACCAAAGACATAACATCAGCTCAGACTTTCAGGAAAAACAGTTTACTTTTCTTTAAAATCTGCAGCATGAATTATAATCCTTTTTAGAAATAACCAATTGCAATTATTCATAATAAGCTTCCCTTATTACTATTTTCTTGTATAACTCACATTACTTGGGCACAACTCACAATACAATCAACAAGCATAACAGTGGTATAAATAAGATACTTATTTTTCTGTAAATATCTTACTTTTTTTAAGCCTCCTGGGTAAATACTTCTGAAATGGGATGCCAAATTCTTCTTTAGGTTCCCTGCAGGATGCACCCTTATACTGATATGAATTTAAGCATCTTATTTAATCATACCTCATATTTTATATTAATATATTAAAATAACAATAGTATCATATGAACTATTGAATCCTTAATTGTTAAATTCTCTCTTGTATAGAAGATACTGCATATACAATTGTCAATTAAGTTAACATTGAAGTCATGTGAATGCTGTCCACACTGTTTCAAGGCTATCCTTATCTTTTAAAACAAAACACTGGGTTGCAGACTTCTTTTGCAAAGAAAAGTACTGTGGTCTCTTAATACTTTGATTTCATAACTTATCCTTTAGCAGAATAATCTTACAGATGGTAGGGAAATTCTGTCAATTTTAATATTCTACTGTATTAGAATAATCACAAATCAAATTGCTGTTCCAGATGAATGTTACAATTTGCCAGGGAATTTGTAGTCAATTATTTCTCTGTCTATTGTTGACCAAGAAAAATATTTCTAATGTTCTAGTTTACAAATACTCAAAATCCATTATTACTTCATAACAGTGTGGTTGTTTCTACATAAATGTTATAGGGTAACCACCTTAGCATTAAATATGATATTATCAAACAGATAATTTGTGCTTCGATGCATACCTTTATAAGAACCTTAAAAATTTGCTTTGATACCCCCCCCCAAGTTTACAATAATTAGCAAAAAGACCATAGTAGCAAATACACATAAAGGTTTTTTCCTTGTAAACAGAACACCAGTAGAAGTTCTGCATTGCGCAGTTCTTTTAAGCCATCAGTAGTGGTGTTGGCATGTCTATTTGCCTGTAAGAAGTTTTTGCTTCTGTATCTTCTTCACTTCCACTTTTAACTGTACGTAGCAAGAAAGGTGAAAAAACATTTCTAAGTTACATTTCAGAGGTAATTTGCAGCTCCTTATCAATTTTCCTTGCTATTTTCTTCTTTGTTCTTTTTTCCAATACACTCTGTGGATTTGGATTTTTTCTTGCTGCTAACAGAAACATTTTACTTTGTTCCCCAAAGGAATGCTACTTCCATCAAACTGGCATGACATCAGAAACAGTTTCTTCTGTCTGCTGAGTGTTTGTGTCTGTCTGTGGTACTGGAACCACAACAGTGTCTTTAATTTCAGTGTTCTGAATGGTGGAAGAATTTTTCTCCTCTAGTTTTTTGGCAGTATCCGGACAGTTTTGAACAAATATAACTCGATTATAAGCCTTCAGCCTTCGCCATAACTGAATGTAGACTTTACATTGCACATACATGAAGACAAGGCCTCCAGTGAACCCAATGGCCACCACAACCAATTTTGTCCAAAATGGCCATTCTAGGACTCCTTTCCATTAGAGAGAGAGAGAGAGAAAGAGAGAATTAGATTAATGTTAAATTAATCAGGACTATTTTTATTGCTTTCTTCAATATTAACTACATTATCAACTATCTACTTGCTGGGTGGTTTAGAAACAGGCTTGCTACTACCAACACAAGTTCTCTCTTACAGGTAGTCCTCACTTAACAACCCTAACTGGGATGGGAATTTTCACTGCTAAGTGAAGCCATCATTAGGTGAAACATGTGACTGTACTACTTAGTGATGGCAGTTCTGTAGTCCCAGCTGTAGTTGTTAGCTGAGGACCTCACACTTTTTCCCTGCCTCACTCTCTGCATGAGGCCTCTGCAATGCTGTGCCAGGCCTCCCCAAGGCCTTGCAAAGGCCTCAGGAAGGGCCAACAGCTGCCTTGGCCAGGCACGCCTCATCACAGTGGGAGGAAGAAAATGGCAAAGGTCAGGCGGGGGTGGCGGGGGTGGCAGGGGTAGGTGCCAGCAATGGAGTGCAGGGCAGTCAAAAGGGCAGAGGTGGGGGAAGATAGGCAGGTGGGAGGAATTGAAGCGCACCCTGCAGTCACAGATGCGAGTGGGTTGCCAAGCACCCAAATTTTGATCATGTGACCACAGGGGCACTGCAATTGCCATAACTTTGAGGATCTGTTGTAACTACCATTCATTCAGCACTGTCGTAACTTCAGACAGTCACTGAACAAATGGTCATTAACCGAGGACTACCTGTAGTTAGCAATTGAGTGTAAAATTAAGTTCTACAGCATATTTTGCTTAAACAAGGAAAAGTTTTGCTGTTTGAGGCAGAAGAGATTAAAAGCCTTGATATGTATAGAGACAATGTGTATCCTGACTATATGTCAGTATGTTCACAGCATATTGCTCCTAGTTGGTGAGCTGAGGGCAACAGTATGTTGCTTTGCAAGACAACCTCTGAGTCAAAGATCTTATTTTCCATAGAATAGCTTGAACATGCTTGGGGCAATACTGGGCTTTGATTGTGCCTGTGGCTAAATTGTGTGAAACTGACCAGTATTCTCCTTGCCATTAGGAAGTGCTACATATGGCATAGATGCAACTAAAAAATTGACTTTATGCTTTCCCTGCGGCACTGAAAAGTGGTAAGAGAGCAAGACTCTTGACTGACCAAAGCCAAGGTGGAGGAAATCAGTATCTGTGGACCTATTAGGTGACAGCCACTGCATATGAAAAATTATAATTTGGAATATAAGAGGAGTAAATGATAAAGAAAATGAATTAACAAATGAAAGGAAAGGAAAACATAGCTTCACAGACACCAAACATATCCAAGGAAAAAGGATGGATAAATGCATTATGGACAAAAGGATAAAATATATGACAGAAAATATGAATTAGTATCTGGATAGTTGTGAATGCATATTAAAGGAGAAATTAGTGGATATGTAGCTCCTTTAATATGCATGGTATACAACATTATATATTATTTTGTTAGGTGACATGAACATGATGAGAGAATACAGAAAAAATAAACCTTAGGCCATTCAGAGATCCAGGAATGAATAAGAATGGTGTTTGTTTAGTGAAATCTGCTTAGAAAAATGTGTTATTCATTTTGAATACATGGTTTAAGCAAAAAAATCTATCCATCCATCCATCCACACACACAGAAATGATCTAAACCTAAAAGCATCATTAATTTGATTGCTTCTGATGAAATAATGAGATAATTGGTGAAGAATATGAGGGAGATGAGAGGTGCTGAAAATGTGGAACAATAGTAAGTCTGCAGAAGTAGACTGTCAGTGGAGAACTGTTAAAATGGTCTGCTTATGGAGTGCCTCTGAGGCTTGTTTAATGCCTGTGACAATTGCACTTTTTTTTCCTTCCTAGCATTTTTCCCACAGATGCAGAGTCCATTTTTTTCAGATCAACTGAATGCCGATCCATTGGTTGCAACAGGAATTGACCGACTGGGTTATCACCCACGTCTGATATTGCAGGCTGACCGAGAGTGCCTGGCCCAAAGTCACCCAGCCAGCTTTCATGCCTAAGGCGGGACTAGAATTCATAGTCTCCCGGTTTCTAGCCTGGCTCTCCCTGTGACAACTGCATATGTACCTATAAAAAGGAAAACCTGGCTTGAATGAATGCCCTTAATTTCTTAAGTGTGCCTGGCAAGGACTTTGGCAGAATTCTGTTTCAAATGGTGCAAGAGGTGATGAGGAACAACTTTTGGGAAGTGCAGTGCAGCTTTATGCTGGGCTCCACATGTGCCGATGTCTGCTTTTCAGCAGTCACTGAAAAATGTCTGAATGTGAGAGAAAGTTTATTGTTCATTTGTCGATTTAGGAAATACATGCAATAAAATGAATAGGCTTAAATTATACAACGTTTTACATGCCTATGGAATGGTAGTTGATTCCTAAATGCAGAAAAACTGCTATATGATGGAAGCAAACATGCTGGAGAATAAATGTTATGCTTAGTATGGTTCAAGACTGAAAAGAGTAAGCAAGATTGTGTGATGTTCTTTTGATTGTTTACTATTTTTATGGATTAATGTATAAGGAATGCTTTAGTGAATTTCTCTGTACTTTTATATTCCTATGATGCTATGTTGTAGGCTGAGAACCTGAATTAGTTGCAATGAATGTCATATTGTATGATCCAACAAGGAATATGAATCTGATATTAATGTCTGAAAGACCAAGGTAATCTTTAATTGTAAGCACCCAGTCACCCTCTTGGGGAGATTGGCGGCATATAAATTAATAATAATAATAATAATAATAATAATAACAATAATAATAATTTAAAAAACAAATCTTGGCTGACAAGAAAAATTGAACGAATGATTGTACATACATTCTCATACATTACCTGGTCTCGGGTTTTTTAAATCATTTATGTACCTTGGTAGAACGTTTACTAAAGATGAGAAATTTTAAGCAAATACTAGTAGAAAAGTAGTAAGTAATATATGGTCTGTTACATGGAATGAATGTTTGTCAAAAGTGAAAATGGATTGTATAAGCTTCTGCCTACTTTGTCATAAGGAAGTGAGAGCCGGAAAGACAAAAACATTGGAAGATGGATATAGCAGGAATGGATGACTTAAGTGTAATAAAAAAGCATCAAGAATGAATGTAGATTGAATACAAAGTGAGTGAATGGTGCAAAAGAAATGGGTTGAGATTATTTGATTGTACAGATAGAATGAGAGTTGACTGAGTTTCAAAACAAATAAATGAATGGATCAAGAGGAAGGAGAAGAGAACTGCATCTTATCAGGTCAATTGAAATGTACAAGTATCTACTTCTGAAGCAGTAAAACAAATAAATACTGTTTCTAGTGGTGGTAGAAAGTGTTGGTTCATTATATATCTATAAATTATTTTGCATTAGAACTTTTTAATAGACGCTTAGAATCTAGAGAAGTTTCCAAACACATATGCAAGAATATTATTTTGAACTCAGATTTGCTTGCACACTTTGAATTGTCATTGTTATTCTAAAATTGAAGTTGTTGTTTTTTTTCCTGACATTTTCAAAGATGCCACACACCATTTATTTGGCATATGGTTCATTAAAGGAGAAAATTTACACTTTTTAAAATGAGGATCATATACTTGGTTTTATTACTGAAAAATATAAAAATAAGAATATAATGGAAAACAGAAAGAAAAAAAGAAAGTAATGTATTTCAGAATAATTTAAAGCATTTTAAGTCTCCAGCTATATACATAGGAATATGTACACTTGAACATAGCAGCTAGATTTAAGATTATTAAATTAACTATTTTCTGGCTTTGCACAACACACTAAACTGACCAAATAAGCTGTGTTCACACAATGCTTTAATCTATGGAAAACGAATTGATAGAAGCAAGGTGATCTAGTTAAGTTGTATAATTCTCAATGATTAGATTTATATTTCTAGGATTGTTTTATGTTTCATGAAGCAAATAATGGCAGGCACATGTACTGAATATCCTTAGCAGTCAGTCTTGAGAGTGTTTTCTGTAGTAGCTATATTTTCCTGTGGCAAGGATTGAGTGTAGAGTAACAATGTTTGATTCTTGCACTAGCTACAGTATATAAAGTGCACTTAAAGTCAGAGTGCTTTCTGCATACAGTGGATTCAGTGTTTGCATGAATTACACAGGATAATATTATTTACTTTTCATGATTCTGTTTCTCCAGCTGTGGTTGGGAGCTATATAGGATCATTTATTTATTATACATATTTGATTTATCTTGCAACTTTCCATCCTTGAACTCAGCTGATGGCAGAACTTGTCCAACTTTGTATGGACTTGGAAGTGAAGCAGGGGTCGGCCTGGTTAGTCCTTGGATGAGAAGCCACCAGGGAATTGTAGGGCTTGGGAAAAAACAATCCTGGAAGAAGGCAATGGCAAATTGCTTCCATACTCCTGCCAGGAAACGTTTACAGACATGAAACGACCAGGAGATGTGATCAACTCGAAGGAAACTTATCATAATGCTTTCTATTCCTAGAGTTCTCCAGCTAGTTCCCTGGAAATCCCATCCACAGGAAATCATAACCATTGACTACCTGTCTGAAACTTGTTGTTTTTACTTTAATAGGCACAGACTTGGTTTCATGAAAATATAAGGGGGATTCTTAAAGTGTTGGATTCTGTGAAAGGAGGAGATCATGGGATAAGGGAATGAGGAATATTCATATGA